TTTATATAGAAAAAATATAAACTAGCTCTCAAAAATTAGCATTATAGTGCCGACGTTGTTTTCACGAAAGGAACAGAAACATCTGAAGCTACTGCATCCGAAATTAATTATTTTTTTGTCGACAATCTCACGACCCTAGAAACTAAGATTTAGACATCTGCCAAAACTTGGCCGTAATAGCAATTAGTGGTTTTTACGTCTCGCAAGAATTCAAGGTCCTCTCTTTTAAATTTCTTTTGAAAATTTGCGGTTCGAAAAAGCAAAAAAAGAAAAAGAGTCCTCCGAGGTACTGGGCTCACCCCGGCCTGTTGTTAATGATTAGGCGAGTCGCATAGCACATTTCTATAAATATAGATATACGCACATATTATATAGTAGAAGACGATGAAGAATAAGGTGGATGAAAATAAAAACAAAAAGAAGAAGAAGAAGATGAAAAAAAGATGCAACGGAGACAGAAAAATTATGCCTTTTAGACATGGAGGGAAGAAATCGTCATTCTACACTGGTACAGAGTGTCCTGAAAAGGGACGAAGTGGTCGTTACTAACAACACATGTCCAAAACGTGTTTCTAGTAAAGTTTGAGAAGACCCGGTAGTGGGATGCGCCATACAAAGAAACAACTATATAAACGTGGGTCGTCGAAGGGAAAGTCCAAAGTTGCCTATTATGTGGGGATTCAAAAATATTAAAATTAACTGCACTTGAATTTAATCAGCCATTTCAAACATAATGTATAGTGCTTGTGTGTGTGTGTGTCTGTTATGAAGAAACGTATATATTTAAATTCAAGATACAGTATGGAATATATGTACCTGCTATGTTGGTCTCTCAGTGTGCGCTCTTCTTCTAAATTGAATTATAATAATTCAATGAATAAAAAATATATCACATCATCCTCTCTATGTACATAAATTAGAACTGACTTTGATCGATTGTTGATTTTCAAATTATACAACTTTATTAAAACTATTAATTTTCAAGTACACAATATTTTCCTTGTAACTTGTTACTTTCTCGTTTAGATTATTATTTTTATTGTGTCACTAATTAATAAAATGAATTTTTAATTCCTCAGTCAAGTGCATATCATTTTTTTGTTACCTAATATCAACACTTCTTTTAAATATTTTAAATATATTAATATTCATAATATTTACATATTACTAATATTATTATTAATATTATACTATTGATTTAAATAGTTTAATACTTTTGTAAGAATTACCGACAATTTTCTTATTTACAACTTTTACACAATACTTCTGTAAATTTATTAAACAAAAAATATTCTTGCAATATTAAAACAAATATTTTTAGTATATCATTAATAATACTAATAATAAAAAAAATATTTTCACAAAATTCCAATGGAATATTCTGTGCTACTGAAGCGGTAAAATATTAAAACGAACAATACTATTTTGTAGTAATTATAAACAAATTTTTGGATTTGTTTATATTATAATAATTAATATTATTGTATTATTTAATAAAAATATTCATGCTCCAAAAATATTGCTATATTCCATAAAAAAATTCTATGAAAATATTCATGTAGTATATTGTACAAAAACATTAATGTAATGCAACTCAAAAGTATATTCTTGTAATTCAAATTTTAATAAATTAAAATATAAATTACAGCTATATATTAAAAAGAAATTTTTTTAAAATTAAATATGAATATTCTTGCGATATTCATAAAATATTTATGTACAATAATTTTAAAACAATAAGTACAATATAGTATTCCACAAAATTTTACAAGAAAACATTTCTCTATTATTTTACATAAAAATATTCCTGGAATATTAAATATTTTTGACATATTTATTAGGAATACTCTTATACTATATTCAAAAAAAATTCTAATAAGGTAAAAGTACCAATTATGGGACGCTGTTTAAGCTAAACTAAATTTCTATGATAAATTTCTTGGAATCGGGAGTGTTAATATGAATAATTAGGGTATAGATTGAAAGATTGATATGTTATGAATAATATTTAGACCCTAAAATGGTTATTTTTCATGAAATAAAAATAATATTAATTAAATTATGAAACTCTGCACTGCACTAATTATGGGACTATGATTTCTGTATGTACGGGTGTCCCATAATGAATGTTCCTATTATGAGACATTTATTTAATTCAATAAGTAATTAGAATTCTATTGACTTATCCTAATAATTTGAATATTAATTATAAAGAATAAAATACAATAAACAAATTCTGGTTTAAAAAATAATTATAAAACTAATTTTTCTGGTAGAAAATTAATGCGAAAAAACTGAAAAAATATTTGAAAATATTTGAGGTTATGTTTGCTGTATATTTCCTGTGTGTCTCATAATAGGGATAGCAAATAATAAGTGCACCTAATGTGGGACGATAGTCTGACGAAAAACTTGGCTTACCTTAATTTAAAAGCTAAAATGCAAATAAACATTTCTTATTAAATTAAATGCTATACACAAATAATTATTCTTTTAACGTGTAAAATTTTTTGAAATAAGTAGAAATTTCTTATGACCAATTTTAATTGCATTTATTTTATTTTTTGTAATACTGTCTCATAATAGGGACAAAATTGTAAATTGTCCCATAATTGGGACCTTTACCTTAATAATAAAAACAATATAGCTGCATGAATGCATAAATTTGTAGAAATTATGTTCAATATCTGTAAAATTCACTATGGACAAGTATTTTCAAAATTTTTTTAAATTTAACTTAAAATTTAAATTTTTAAGTTGAGTTGTACAGAGAAAAGGTCATAGCTGTCAAACTAACCTTTTCTCTGTGCAACTCAACTTAAAAATTTAAATTTTAAGTTAAATTCTAAAATTCTTTAAAAATAATTGTCAAAAATGAATTCTACAGATATTAATAATCATTTCTACAAATTATGAAATTTTTATAAAAATAGGCCGCAACGACTTTAGGTGAAGTATAATGGACTGACCCAAAAAATATTCTCAAAATACTCCAAAAGGAATTTTTATAGTTCTCCAAAAATATTCCTACAATACTGCAAAAAAACATTTCTTCCTGATAATTCCATAAAAATGTTAAAGTATTTTGAAAATACCCAACAAAATTCTTACAATTCTCGAAAAATATTTTTGCATAATGAGTCAATTAATTTTTTAAGAATTACTGATCCAATCAGTGAGTATATGTGACCGGGTCTGAGAAAAGGGACCAACTTATCAAAATCAACTTTTCGAGAAAAACGCGTTTAAAAGTTTTCTATCCAAATAAATTAGATTTCTTGAAACATTTTACATTTAAATTAACATGATGAGTGTTCTTTATGTATTTTTTTATGCTGAATCCGATTTTCATGGTTAAATAATTGTTCAAACAATACCCTGTAATCGTTATAAACAATTTACTTTGCAAAAGTCAAATTATGGAATTTTCAAAATTAATTTAAAAGACTTCCGGATGTCCTAGAGGTCTGAAATTTTTTATGCAAGTTCAGAACTGATACAATAATGAATAATTCTGATCTCTACAATAATCCATAGTTATTTTTTGACTTGCACAACCAGGTTGCCGATGAGGGGTATACTTGGGGATCATCTTCGAGGAATTGAGTAGAATTTTTTGTAAATGGTTTAGGCATTCAATTTAAGATTTAGGGGAAATATTCTTGACACTTAGACAACTAAGAGTAATTTTTGTCTTAAAATTACATATATTTTCATAAAAAAAATTTAAAAAAAAAAAAATTTATTTTTAAATTTGTTTAAACAATTGCAAAAAATTTTTTTTAACAATTGGGACTGATTGCATTGTATTTCTAGGACCTTAAACTATAAGAAACCATCATAAAAAAATCGATTTTTTGGTAAGTAAGTCCCTTTTCTCAGACCCGGTTACATATTAGTTTGAAGAAAAATAAACATCATTGGTCCAGTAATGTTTGCCGAGAAATGTCAAAAGTTACTGGTTTAGTACTGGTGTTCAAAACGTCCCATTGCTGGACCAATGATATGGCGCCGGTTGTCAGATATTCTAATTTGCCAAGATTGGCCCAAAAGTCAGACCAGTAATAACGCGTTCACGGCAAAGTTGTTGTATCTTTAATGACAAAAAAATAATTGACAGTGATGGGACAAGGCTCGGCCCACTAATGGTACATTAATGGCTTAAAATTTTCTATATTTGTTATGGCAAGTTAATTAATTAAAAATATAATTATTTTTATTATTTTTTGCATTTTTTCAATACTGGCGGACTAATGGCGGACAATATTGGGCCATTAATGTCTGCCGATATCTCACTGCCGACGTCTAACCGCAATATTAATACCACAAGAGTTGGTCCCACATTGTCTGCCAAGACTTGGTGCCAACTTTGCCAATCCTGGGCCAGTTTTGGGCTTTTGTTTCCTTCTGTATTTTAAAATATTCTGCACTATAAAATTAAGTCTTACGAATTTCGGAGTTTTATAATTTTTACAGAAAACACTACAAAAACATGTGTCCCATACTTGGACAAAAGTGTCTTAAAATCATGACATTTTTGGTTTCTAAGACACGAAAAATGTCTGAATTTAAAACACTTTTAAAACATCCGTTTTTGCAGAGTGTACTCTCATCTTAAATATTTCCTCAACCCCAACAGAAAAATTTGTGTTAATCGGTGAAAAAATCCAAAAAAGCAAAATTTCACTGACTTTTGTCAACTTGTCAAAGAGAAAAAAAGGGGTGAATGGTGAAAAATGCATGTCGCGGGTGGCGGCAAGCGTTTTGATTTCGTAGTGGCACACGCACGTGTGCGTACCGGGTGTCATGCCGCGTCAAACATCTTCCACATCCTTCTGATCTGTCGGCGTATATTGTATACTGTGCTCCGGGACAAGAAGAAGGGAGCAAGGGTGGGGGTGTTTGGGGGCTTTATTTAATAAAGGGTGGGGGCGGAGGGAGGGGGAACGCTAGGGCAGAAAGACCTACGGTTGGCGGAGGGAGTTGTGATGAGAAGCGAGCGGTTATTTCAAGCACTGCTCTGGCACTTCGTCTCGAGCTTCCAATGCGCATCCTTCCTACACATCGTTTCACTCCCATCTCTCTTTAACTTTCAATTATTTCTCATCCAATTGTTATAAACAAATTGTCAAAAACAAGTAAAAACTGAAAATTTCCCTTCAATTTAAAGGATTTTTTTCAATTTATCACAAAAAAAAAATTGTGGACTTGAAAAAACACTTTTGTTTACAGTGTCAGTGCGTGAACAGTGTCAATCAACCCTTTAATTCCAAGGATTAAAAAAACCTAAAACTTGTGTCTCAAAACACAAAAAAAGTGGAATTTAAAAAAAATTGTTTCAGTGAAAAAGTGTAAAGTGTACTTTCAAATTCTATGGGAAAAAAACAAAAGGTGAATAAAAATTTGCATAAATAAAATATAGGTAACGGAAGTAGTGTTAAAAAGACGTGTGGCGGGAAGATTCGTGCTAAAAGGCGCCGGGGATTTATAACGACGGGCGGCCTGAAATAACAACCAGAGGGTGCAAGCTGGAAACAGTGAATCAGCACAGCATCCAGTGAGTGAATCTCCTGACGTGCATCGACTCCAATAATGCTTAATCATTTTGCCAATAATTAATAAAAAGAGAAAAAGAAATCTCCCAACGTTTACCAATTTACACAAATTCTAAGGAACTCTAAAAACCTCTAAAGCCAAATTACAAACAAATCAACATTCAGGATCATTTTTGAGAAAAACCAGAAGCTCAACAGCACTTGGAACATAATTTTCCTTGGAAATAATTCAACGATCGGTGAGTAAACTCCCTCGTGCATCTAATTTGAATTTTTTTTATACTTCAAACATGAAAGTCGGCGATAAATTTACCCCGAAAAAAATCAACTTGTTAACATGCAAATTTTGTTTTGAAAATGAGAAAAGAAACTAAAGTCAAAATATTGATATTTTTCATTAAAAATACTTTCAGAAATTACTTTATAAATAATTGAAAAAAAACTTCAATTTAACATTTAGGAACATCATTAATTTTTTTTTGAAACATAAAGCAGAATTATTGCAATAAAATTTTCATTTAATGACAAAATAAGTAAATTGTATTTGAACGTTCAGAACTTTATAGGAACATAAATAGTTTCTCTTTCTTGAAAAATAACATCGCTCACAAGAATTTAAAAAAGATATATAAAATGTGCACGTGAATAATATAAAGAGAGATGATCTCGAGGGCATTAATTGCCATTGCACGCGGTTCGACAATTAGAAGCATTTAAGTCATTTATATTTTCTGATAGAATCGATCGATCGTTCTCGCAGTCAAACATGTTTTCTTTTTTGCTTCTATATAATCCCTTTTGCAATCGTATATACTATATAACAAATGAGACCGATAGACATCTTTTAATTATTTTACTGTTTCAATTTTATCGCAAAAATTACACTCGTCATATAATTATAAGTGTGTCTATATAACACAAACAACTCAATTTCCAACAGATTTCATTCTCTGCGTGCATTTTTTAATTCTTTTTTGCAAAATATTTCCTCAGTAATGCATTATTCATTCTCTATAAACAATCACGCATTATTCTAAATTCGCAAAAAAACCAAAGTTTTGGTTTCAATCAAACAAATCCTTGGCAAATGGTCAAATTAATATTTATCCACGTTCTAAACAAAGATTTATTCTAAGTAAATTCAAATTCTATAGAAATTCAAATTATTAGCTTTCATTATTACGTGTTAATTTATTTCTTTAATTAACTATTGATCATTATAAACAATGAATAATAAATCAATAATTATAAACAATTAAGAATAATTCAATAATTATAAACAATTAATAAGAAATCAATAATTATAAACAATTAATAATAATTCAATAATTATAAACAATTAGTAATAAATCAATAGTTATAAACAATTAATAATAAAGCAATAATTATAAGCATTTAACAATAATTTAATAATTATGGATAATTATTATTATTATGTAAACAATTGTTTAAAAAATATTAATCTAAAACAGTAAGCAATTATCAACAATTACTATTATTTCCTAAACAATTATTTGCAAAATATTAATAAAAAACAAATCATTTTCTACATTGTTTATTATATAAATAATTATTTGAAAACTATTAATCAAAAACAACAAATAATAATTATAAACAGTTATCAATAGATTAATAATAAAATGTACACAAAAAAGAGCAATAAAGTAACTTTTCTAATTTTTTTACAATTTAAACTACATTTGTAACTTCTGTGTATTTTTGGCAACTTTTACTAAAATTTACTCCGAAAATATAGTAAAATTTATTCCCGAAATCAGAAAAAATGAACAGAAATGTACCGAAATTCTAGACAATTTATACGTTTCACTATAATACAAGAAATCGTCAAAAATTACTTTATGCTTTTTCGTGTAGTAATAAAATTAAATCAAAAAAGCCTCATTTAAAAAAATGTTAAACATTTTTTGGTAATTAAAATTCATGTGTAAGGTGAGACGACACGGTTTTTTTATAATAAATAAAATAAATAAAACAAACAAATAAAATAAATGAAAGTAATATGAGGAAAAAAATAAATAAAATAAATAAATGGAATAAATATAAATAGTACTATAAATAAATAGTAATAAAATACATAAAAATAATAAATCGAATAAAATAGAACAAATAAACAAAAAGTTTCAATAACTGAGGTTTAAGTGTAACCTATTACATCTAGTTTCTAAATTGGAGCAAAAAAAATTCAAAAACAACTTCTTTTGTAAAAATATCATTTATGAAAAAAAATTTCATTAAATTTTGAAAGAATTTGCGACAATTTTTTATGACTCGTGTACACGCAAAGTGCCGTCAAATTACCCAATTGGTGTCATTTAACGAGACAAAACTGGAACTTTAAAGAAGTTGAGAAAGACGACAAAAACGGAAGTATCAATTATTTAAAACACAATATTTTTTTTATGCCTTAAGGATCCTTTAGCTTTTTACAACTCTCTACATCTGAATTATAAAGAAAACTCGTCCACTATTTTTTTAAAATTAATAAAAATATCTACACTAATTTTTAATTAAATAGAACTATACTACTTTTTTACAAATTTTATATACTAATTCTAAAGTTTACCAAATTTTTACGAATTTAAATAATTCTAAAATTAGTAAAGTCCCTGAAGTTTGGCGTCGACGCTAAAAACGTCGTTTCGTTTTCACGAACCTCAAGAGAATCAGACAATTTTTCCAAAGGTTTTATGTTAAAAAAGTATTCTTAAAAATTTTTTATCATCAAGATAATTGAAAGAAGTGAAATTTATTAGTTAAAATTTTATCACTAAAAATCAGAAGAAATACTTTTCGATGCTGAGCGTCGACGCCAACTTCACACTGAAAAAAAAATTTATTTGATTCAAATAACCGATTAATTGCGACTATTATCAATTAAATATTTACTTGAATCAAATAATATTTATTGGAGTCAATTAAATATTTAATTGATAATAGTCAATTAATCGGTTATTTGAATCAAATAATTTTTTTTAGTGCTGGGACCTAGTTCATAAATCCTAAAAAAGTTCAAATTTTCTATACATAATTTTTATTGTTTGATTTTAAATAATAAGAATTATAAATATAATGATAATTTAATTAATCATGAAAGTAATTTTAGTGAAATTTCAACGAAGGATAATATTCATTTCAATGGTCAATCATTGAATGATAAAATTAATATTTGCAATAAACATGTCAAACTCATCTTTCATTAAACGCCATAAAGAGAGAGAGAGAAATTATATAATCACCAAATGATAAATCCATTACCAATTGACAAGGCACAAAACGAGTCATAACATAACTTCCTGACAAACGCGATTGAATGTATAAATATTTCTCCCCGGAAGGAGATGAATCTGTGATTCGGATATTTGAAACACATTTTACAAATCATCCTCTGCACTACTATATATATATAGTGTGAATCAAAGACATGCGTCTGAGTCATTTTTTAATTGAACCACACACACAGATATATATGTGCATAAAATGAGAGAAAACGTTTATATAAAAGAGTGACACCGACTGACCCGAATGGGTCAAACGATGCAGCAAAACCAGCATTTATAAAAATTGTCTCAAACGGAAGTATAGTATAAGGGCAATAATTTCCGGTATAATAACCCGCAAGTTCTCCGGGTTTGTTTGTTTTAAATGATTTATGATCTTTCCGCGTCGAGAATTAAATTGACCGTGCGCGAGTATACCTTATTATTATTTATTCGATTCAAGAAAATTAATGATCATCTTTTTAAGGATTCTAAATTACATCATTCAATACAGAAGTCACGGTACGCTGATTGTCTTTTATAGACGTTTCATTTTTTCGAATCAAATAAATAGCCAGATGATTAAAATCAATTTTTTTTTTCGAATCGATAAGATTGATCATTATCGTTTTTCACACGTAAATTATTTAAATTCTCGCAATAATTACATTCCTCGAGATTAAGAAATCTATGTAGGAAAATTGTATGTTTATTTTTATTAACTAAATACGAAAAAAATTTATATCAACAGAAAATAATTTAATTTTTTTCAAAAATAGAAAATAAACAATTTAAAAAAATAGAAAACAATTGTACCGGTTTTAATAAAAAACAAAGGCGTATTGTTAAGTTTCGAAAAAAGCAAAAAAAAAAAGATTGTCCATCTTATTAAAAAGCAATTTATAAAAAATTCTATCGAAAAAAAAGACTAAAAAAAGCATAGAAAAAAATAAGATGTGGGTAATAGATCATAGAATCAATATTATTTTAAAGGAAAATCAAATAAGTCATTCGTCCAATTCAACGATAATTGTTTCTTTATCGTGGGACTTATTGCGTTTGTGGGAACACTGCACACTGCACAGTGCCACTTATTGTTGGACCCTTCTTCCCTTTTTTTATTTCTCAATCCCCACTTGACTTGATTTTCACGAGACCCACTCATGCGCCTATATACGAGATTGAACATTTTATTTTTCTTTTATATAATATCTCTTTAAAAGTGATTCTTCTTTTTTTTCCTTTTCTATAATATACTTTCAACCGAAAATAAATTGACCCACGCCTATTCTTTCTTACAATAAAACAAATACCAATTTAACCATATTATTATACTGAGTTAAAAAGAATATTTTAACGTATGTAAATTAATTTATTTCCTTTCATTATTCTTATTTATTTTTTCTTTTTATCGCTAGACATTTGTTTTTCATTATTTAATAAATTATGATCCACAAGTTTTGAATTTTAAAATTTTAGTGAAACCTGTTGCAATGCAACTTGATTTTTTAAATTTTATTACACAGTAAACAATTTTTAAAAAATTGTCTTATAATTTAATTTTGTAACATTTTTGCAATATTCTGCAACTAAATGAAAATTATTCTTGGACATTTTTTAATACAATCAAATTTTAAAAATAGTTGCATTCCGACGGGTTCGGCTGTAACAAAATATTTCGTTCATTTGAACGTTAAAAACTTTTAAATTGCAATAAGTTGAACAAAAATCAAAAACTTAACATAAGAAGTAAAAAATTTTAGGCTATGTTTATAATTTTTGGTGTAAAAATACAAAAAGAAAATCAATTACTATTCCCAATTATTAATGTTCAAGTCTTCATTTCATCGAAAATATTCATTAAAAACTGTTTTCAAATTTACATAATTAAAAATGAACTTTTAATAAAAAAAAATGTAACACAAACATAACCTATAATTCGTTTGCTTCTTGCGAACCTT